TGTGTATTAGTTATAGTACAGCAGTACTGAAAGGCATCTAGAGTAAGGATCCAAGTGGGGACACATTAAAACTACAATTCAAATTCCAAAAATCTTCCAAGGAGAAGGAAATCTTCAACCCTTTAGTGTTTCACTTTGACCAAAATCTTCTCCATAGAAGGAGGAAGCTTTCCTGTACGCAAAAAATTACATCTAAAATGACAAATAATATTTCTGCAGGGCTTAAGGTAGAAATTCCATAGTAGCAGGGGGAAGAAGTATAAGAGACACTGAAATTTGTGAGGGTTTTTTTTATACTTTGAAAGAATTGTAGGTATTTTTACATGAAGTAGTTGAACCTTTCTCTTGCATTACATTCTCTAAAACCGGCCTTTTTAAAAAACACATTGGCTGAGATACAGTATTAAGGTATCTATATGATTTTATGATTTGTCCAATATACTTGGCCCACACATTTACCATATGTATATATACATGTAAAGAATGTATCTGTAGTATCTTAATAATCTCTGACTCTTTTTTCAGCATGAATATTGTGTATACCTACTGTTCAGCCTAACGGTCATTGGTTTTCTTCTGTTCTAGTGCTTCTGTACCAAAGACAGCAGCAGGTCATTGCAAGTGGGCGGAAGTTCTGAAAGATCTGGAGCAGATCAAGACATCCAAAGTAAGTTCAGAAAAAAGTCAACATTTCATATAATCATAGCAGCAGACATAATTAAATATTTAGCATTGTACTCAGCTAAGAAGTGTCAGTGACAGGGAGCAGGAAAAGGGATGGTGTTTGTATAACGCTGTTTCATGGGTGGAAGCAAAGGAATAGATGGTTAAAGGGAATTGGAGTTGACCAAATACTGTAGACTTCAGAATTAAATATTATTTTCTTTCTCACTTTTTCTAAGAAGAGGGCTAGTGGGCTTGGGAGTTAGTTCCTTCAGAGAAAGTATTGTGGGACTCAATTCTGATGAGTCCTCCTCACAATGAAGCCCATCCTGCAGGTGAGTAGGTGACTTTAAGATCCCCTGACTTGCTGGCTCCCAGTACCTGGATGGATTGGGCTTTTGAACTTGGAGCTAGTCCATTTCTTGCACAGTTAGCTTTATTATCTCCAAATCTGTTAGTTAATGTTTATAATTCTAACTCTTGTTTTCTTTTAGGACATTGATGTCAGTTTATATACTGCAAACACAGATGAGGATGTAAGTAAACTTAAAATTTGACCGCAACCGGTCTAATATGGTAGCTTCATTTCTTTACTAGCAACTTTCTCCTATAGCAGCCTTGGTCTAATTTGAGAAAAGTTTCAGAAATCAAATAATTTGCCTTGAAAGGACCAGTTCTGTTAGTTCAAGTACTTATAATAAATTATGTAAGCAGGTATTAATTATTTTTATTGAATCACCTGATATTAAAATTAATCAATTAAAAGGGATGAACCAAAATGATCTTATCAAAGCAAACACTGCTAAAATAATGTTGTTATTCCTTTGTAATTTGAGGGAGGAAAAAAGTGACAAAGAAAATAGTTCCAAAGATGATTATTTGACACCATGCATTATTTAATAGAATAAAATACTGGAGAAGTGGAATATGGACAGTAACTGTCAACATCCACCTGTGCATTTCTCTGCTTTTGCCATCCGCACACACATTCTCTTAACTGAACTGAGCCAGAGAGGTTAATCCATTGTAATGGCCAATTTAACACCTGGTAACGTCAGGAAGATTTTCTTCAAATGGGACAGTCTGATATGAAAGTCAGACAACCTGGGACTTATTCTTGGCTTTATTGTTGATTTGCTGGAGAAATCAGTACCTCTGCTTCTTTTTCTTTAATTTCTGAAATACAAGTAATATCTACTTTCTCTTCTCCCTTACCTGTTCTGAATTCACATCTCTGAATTAAAGTGCTAGAACTACTAAGAATAATACTAATTTAATTCCACTATGTTTAATTATATCCCAAACTCCTATCCTAATTAATTATTTTTCTATGTTCTTCATCAAGACACTATGTTTCACCTCATCTTAGCAAACTGGCTGGCCTTTATGTTGTTAGCTCTCATAGCCAATCTTTGCAGATATTCGAAAGTATTCGAATAGTAAGAAGAGATATCCAGTAAATAAAAATCAGCCACTTCGTGGTAAATTATATCTTATATTCACTTATTCCTTTTTAATCATAAAACTAGTACAACTTCATCTTTTTCAGAAAGAATGCCAAGGACCTGTAATGAGATGCTTTTTCTTAGAGACAGAAGTGATTCTTCAAGAATGTCTTATCAAAAATTGTAGTAAAACACAGGATGTATTGAACATATGGAAAAATGGAAATGCAAGCTTAGAAAATAACAAGGTAAGTAACGCCAACAGCCTGTGGAAAAAAGGCAAATCAAAAGAGTTTCTTCAGCAGCAGAAATACCTCTTTTGTTATATAAAAGTTACGATGGTACAGATGAAAGTGAATGGGATCCAGTAACCTGTACATATGACAACAAAAAAGCTACAAATACAACAATGAAAGAGCAGAATTTAATGTTTTTTAGAAAAACACTTTCAGGATTCCCATCAAAGCAAGTATTTTTGACTTTGCATGCATACATATGTCAGGGTGTTTGAATGTGCTTGTACAAATAACAGTTTGCAACTTCAGTATCTAAAGTCAGGTATGCTCAGACACATACAGGAATGTATCCTCATTTTCAAAGGGAGAACCACTTGCATCTCTCACTGAAGTGCTGTATCTTTGAAAGCTGATCCTACTGAGAAAGCAAGCCAGGAACTGCACAGAACATAAGTCCCATGGAAGCCTCCAGCAATGCTTTCTGTAGCCATTGACTGCATTGGAATTATTCACAAAACCAGGACAAACAAGGGTTAGTTCTCTATCAGAACAAATAGATCAGTATCCTGCTTTACTATTGCATTTTCTTTTTCAGTTGAATTCCACAGCACCAGCAAAATGCAAAGAATGTGAAGAGTATGAAGAAAAAAATTTTACAGAATTTATACAGAGTTTTGTAAAGGTTATACAGAAGGAATGCAAACACTGACCAAAAGACACAAGCTGGGAACCAAGATTCTTCCACGAACATCCTCAGAGAAGTTAGATTATTGGCAACAGTAAACTGGAAAGAATATCACTTACAATCCAACTTATGTAGCATAACATGTAAACAAAGAATAATAAAATCCCTGTAATTTACAATGTATTCATAACTGAATACATACAAATGATATTACTTATGAAATATAAATGAAAGGAATTTTACAGGGTTTAAAGGTTCTTCTTGACTTAGGGTGTCTTTTTATTTTTTGGTAAGTCCATGGGAAAAGAAATCCTAACCCAACAATAAGGCAGTGTATTTGTTGCTGTAATGAGATTGAGACTTCCTTCCTGGTAAGTGGACAGCTGAATGACTCAGCCATTTATCAAATGAAGACGGAGAAATGGAGGTGCCTGGAGGAAAGAATTACTTATTATGGATAGCAGTTGGTATGATATGGTTATGAATCATGAAGAAAGCAGTTACTTTAGAAAGAGCTGAAAGAAGACTATGAAACATTTCAGAACTACCAGGGGACGGGTGACGTTGCATTGAGTCTTAGAAATACAGTTATCATGATTTCCAATAACTGGTCAAAAGCGATTCCTGCCTTCAAAGTTCTTATCCCAAAAGGAGACCAAAGTTACAACCTCTACTGCATAGGAAAGATTTCTACCCCATAGAATTATTTTTTTAAGTGTGTAAGAGACTTGGTCGCCTCCTTTATTCAGAGAATGAAATTTAAGCTACTTTTCTTTGGTTGAAATTTAGATTGAAATCTTTGGTAATTGCTAAAGGAACTGTAGTAATTACCATAATGACTAAGGTAGTGTCTGTGTCAGAGGTAACACATGAACTAACAAAGCATGTTCTGTTGTTGGACAGTGGAACAAAGCACCAGCAGTACCATCTGTTGAGAAGACTGGAGATAATTTTTAATACCCTTATGCTACCATTGTACAAAAGGGAAAACAGGCAAGGAAGAATCTTTAAATAAATATTCTAATTTTTTACTTTGAATTCTTAGGTAAAACAAGTAATTGGGTTTACCTGAAAACCATAATAGAAATAAATATGTTAAGAGAGAGCAAATAGACCTTTAAGACAAATAGGCCTCAGCTTGTGTTTTGACACTAGCTTGTTGAAGGAATGTTAATGAGAAAAAAAATAGCAAGGAGAACTGTCAGACATGAATAAGAACAGAAGTGAGAGATAAGCTAGGATCTTCTAGGAGCACAGATGGTAAATGGATAGATTTCAGATAACAAAAATAGCTATAGCCAAATACTTTAACAAGGTGTGATAACTTTATATTAATAATAATAGACGAGCTTGTCTCTGAAACCCCATTCAGTTAGTCCTGAACTGATGTTCATGAGGAGGTTCCCACTGCAGATATCCAGATATCAGGATTAAACAATGGCAGAGGTATCACAGAAGAAATAAACAAATTATTTGCCACTGCAAAACATCAATGAAAGAAGTGTTTATTACATAGTTTGGATGAAGTACACTGGTCCTACATTTTAAATTTTTCCTTAAAACAATAGCATGCATTGAATATGATTTTCTCATACCTGATGTCACATGCATAGGCAAGGTAATACCAAGTTACAACTGTGGTCTTTAATCAAAGAGATGAAGGGATTTTTGTTATTTCTAGCTTTGAGGGAGCTTGAGACACAGTCCAGCAGTATTCATGATGCGAGAAAAAAACAGCTCCTTTGCTCAGATAGTTTTCTTTATCTTGGCCATTGTGAAAATCAGTTACCTGATTACTTTTATTCTGTTGTTCATTAAATCATTTACCAGTGGCAAGTATGCTAATTACACTGAATGTGTCTTTCCAAAAGAATATTGCTAAGTCTGTGACCACTCAGCTTGCCATCCTGTTAGCTGCTTTCTGTTGGATGTTGGCCATATCTCTTTCATTTTGTTTCATGTCCACCTGTTACAGATGCATATTCTAGAACCATAAAAGGCCATTTGCTAATCTAGTTCTCCAGTATTTCTCCTGGGGTTTTTGTTTTCCTGAGAGCTAAGCTGCCAATTGAAAGCTTTACTACATCCTGAATCCCATGCTTATAAGAAATGATCTGATGAGTATAAAGGATGGACTAAATTAAGGTCAAGTTGGTGGATTTTTTAGTGAAGGAATTCATACATATCCCGGAGGAAAAGATTCAATATGACTAAGACATGCATGAATCCAATCCGACTTTATAGTACTGCAGGCAGAACAGTAAAAAGTAATTCAGGGTGCCTACTTTTGAAGTAAACTTCCCTAGGTTGAGGAAAGTATTTCTTCTACACAAGGTCTAGTCATTTCTGTGGCATTTACTAGCTAATCTTTTCCAACTACTGTTGGTAAATATTAAGAAAAAGATTATTACTGTATTTTCTTCAGTTAATCCAATTCAGTTTGGGACTAAGGTGACTCATAGCAGAGTATTTCTATGTAGAGAAAGAAAAATAACTCCACCTTTTGGGACCAGAAGAATGACGC